TGTCTATGGCTAGAATTGGGGAGGTGGCACAGTACCCTGGGTACATACAGAGCCCCTTGCAAGACCCCGTTAATGAGCTGTTTTGTCCATTGGCCGCTTCCCTTTAGCTTACCACCCCCTACTGTCTCCAGACATGCAAAGGAGTCTCTTCTTTGAGGAGTAGGGAAGTCATAGCATGCAGTGGGAACATGGGAACATCAAACAATGAAAAACAAAAGACTGATCCCCAGGCAGTGAAAAGAGACTGGGTAGCAAAATGCCTTCCCGAAAATCCAGCAAGCATCAGTACCAGGGGGATGGTGACTGTGTCCCCCAAACTTAAGCATTGGTCTCAGGCTCTAGAAGGAAATGAGAAGACTGGTACCAAACCATGCTTTGGGGGAAAGCTGAACTGATGGAGAGGCCAAAAGGTTATAACACTCGCCCAACTCTCCAGAACTAGGAGCCTGCTTGGGTCACCTGTCCCCACAACAGCCCAACCACCTTGCTCAAGAGAGGGACTGAAGGGGGTGGGTTGGGTGAGGAGAGGGAAGCAGGAGATGGATGAGCCTGACTGAGTTGGAAGGTGGAGGAGTTCAGCTGTCGTGGTATGGTTTTTTTTTTGTGTGTCCACGCTAACCCTACTACCCTTGGGGGTATGATCAGTGATTGGATAGGGGTTCCCAGCAGAACTCTCTTTGCATATTCAACCCCCTAGGGCACAGAGAGGGAGTGTTGACTTGGGCACTTATTTCTGTTTCCCAACGGGGAGCATGGCCTTGGCTCCTACCAGTATCCTGGGGTGAGCCCTAAAATTCTGAGGCCTGGGTACAAGTAAGGACAAGCTGGACTGGCTGGGGAGGGAGGCTGCCCTGTGGCTCAAGGCCTGGCCTCCATATTACTTCTTCTCTTTCTTTCCCGACTTCTTCTTGTTGCCGTTACCGCCTGCTGGAGCCTTGCCATCTCGTTTGCCAGCTGCATTGGTCAGTGTGGCATTGCTGCCGGGGATGTACACATTCTGGCGGTAGTCAGGCACGTGCTGTAGGGTGAACTGGGGTCCATATCGAGCGCTCAAACCCATGGTGCCAGCGCCCCCTCCCAGAGTGGAGCTCCCATCAGCAGCTTCTGCAGAGACAGGACAGAGACATGGTCAGATGCGGGCAGTGACTCTCCAACTCCCTTACATAGCAGTTAGTGGATGCCTGTAACACACTGGGACCCGACCACCAAGACAGTCTCTTCGATGTGCAAGGAGGGATGAAAATCAGGTTTGATTCCCAGCTCTCTTTCTTCCCATGATCTCTGGCAAGTTGGCCTAGCCTCCCTATACCATCTCTTTTCTAATCCGTAAGATGAAGGTAATAGGGAGTATCCACTTTGGGTGAGAATTAAATGAGAAGATGCTTGTAATGTGCCTAGAATACCTTGGTGTGTGGTAAGTGCTCAAAACATACTAACTAGCATTTCTCTGTGTGGTGCTGGGAATTGAACTCATGTCTTTGCACATGCTAGGCAAACACTCCCCAAGCTGAACTACATACCCAGCCTAGTCCTCTGTGTGTGTGTGTGTGTGTGTGTGTGTGTGTGTGTGTGTGT